TTAAGAAATTTCCTAACACCAATAAAACACCATCGGAAATCAAAAGCATGACTAGAAAATCTTGCGACTTCTACTACCACTCTAGTATCATGCATCGTAACGTTGGTCGAGTAAATCCTTTTAAAAATTGAATTAAAAATTTTGTGATTTTTCTAGATTCTCGAACCGATGACTATAGTTTGAGAAGAAGAACCATGATATACAAACATATAATTTTTATACAATATATAAAAATTATTATACACTCACGATACACAAACACACTGTGGATATACTCAATATACACTTTAAATATATAAATACACTCAGGATACACTTAATATATATGAAGAATACATTTTCAAAACTTACGATACGATGTATATACATTTTTATACGTTAAATAACAATATATATACAACTTTATACAAAAATATAATACAATTATCTTGCACGTATAACTTTATTCGTGATCTTTTTCCAAGCAAAAGCGATATGTCTAAAAATTTTATATAATATAAATAGAATATACACTCATGATATACAGACACACCCAGGATACACTTAATATACACTTTGGATATAAAAATATACTCAATATACAACTAATCTACACTAAGAATACATTACCAAACTTAGGATACAATATATATACAAGTTTTATACATCGCATAACAATACATATACAACTTTTATGCAAAAATGTAATACAATTATCATGCATGTATAACTTCATTTATATTTACATGTATATATATCATTATATATTGTATAATTGCGTATATTCAATATTCAATAAAAAGTATAATACAAATACCATCTAGTCACCACATTAAACCCAAAATCTACTGCTGATACCTACTTCAAAAGATCTTCACTCACAAAGTACATTATTATCTAAAGAATAACTTTAAAGTCTTATATCCTTAAAGAAATTTTCCTAACCACCAATAAAACATTATCAGAAATCAAAAACTTGACTAGAAAATCTTGCGACTTCTACTGCCACTCTAGTATCATACATCGTAACGTCGGTCGAGTAAATACTTTTAAAAATTGAATTAAAATTTTTGTGATTTTTCTAGATTCTCGAACCGATGACAGTAGTTTGAGAAGAAGAACCATGATATACAAACATATAATTTTTATACAATATATAAATTGATTATACACTCACGATACACAAACACACTCTGGATATACTCAATATTCCCTTTAAATACATAAATACACTCAGGATACACTTAATATATATTAAGAAAACATTTTAAAAACTTAGGATACGATGTATATACATTTTTATACGTTACATAACAATATATATACAACTTTATACAAAAATATAATACAATTATCTTGCATGTATAACTTTATACGTGATCTTTTTCCAAGTAAAAGTGATATGTCTACAATATTTTATATATATTATATAAATAGAAAATACGCTCATGATATACAGGCACACCCAGGATACACTTAATATACACTTTGGATATAAAAATATACTCGGCATACACTTAATATACACTAAGAATACATTACCAAACTTATGATACAATATATATACAAGTTTTATACATCGCATAACAATACATATACAACTTTTATACAAAAATGTAATACAATTATCATGCATGTGTAACTTCATTTATATTTACATGTATATATATCTTTATATATTGTATAATTGCGTATATGCAATATTCAATAAAAAATTATAATACAAATACCATCCAGTCACCCCATTAAACCCAAACCCACAGCTGATACCTACTTCAAAAGATCTTCACTCACAAAATACATTATTATCTAAAGAAAAAGAAGAAGAAGAAGAAGAAGAAGAAGAAGAAGAAGAAGAAGAAGAAATCACCTGTATAAAAAAGAATAACTTGCTCAGCTATCATAAAGTCATATATCCTTAAAGTAATTTTCCTAAGCACCAATAAAACACCATCAGAAATCAAAAGCTTGACTAGAAAATCTTGCGACTTCTACTGCCACTCTAGTATCATGCATCGTAACGTTGGTCGAGTAAATCCTTTTAAAAATTGAATTAAAAATTTTGTGATTTTTCTATACTCTCGAACCGATGACAGTAGTTTGAGAAGAAGAACCATGATATACAAACATACAATTTTTATACAATATATAAATTGATTATACACTCATGATACACACTCTGGATATACTGAATATACACTTTAAATACATAAATACACTCATGATACACTTAATATATATTAAGAATACATTTTCAAAACTTAGGATGCGATGTATATATATCTTTATACTTTACATTTCAATACATATAAAACTTTTATACAAAAATATAATACAATTATGTTGCATGTATAACTTTATACGTGATCTTTTTCCAAGTAAAAGCGACATGTATACAATTTTTATATATTATATAAATAGACTATACACTCGTGATATACAAACGCATCCAGGATACACTTAATATACTCTTTGGATATAAAAATATACTCAGCATACACTTAATATACACTAAGAATACATTGTCAAACTTAGGATACAATATATATATATATTCAAGTTTTATACATCGCATAACAATGAATATACAACTTTTATACAAAAATGTAATACAATTATCATGCATGTATAACTTCATTTATCTTTATATATTGTATAATTGCGTATATGCAATATTTAATAAAAAATTATAATACAAATACCATCTAGTCACCCCATTAAACCCAAAACCCACTACTGATACCCACTTCAAAAGATCTTCACTCACAAAATACATTATGATCTAAAGAAGAAGAAGAAGAAGAGGAGAAAAGAAGAAATCACCTGTGTAAAAAAGAATAACTTGCAGAGCTGTCATAAAGTCTTATATCCTTAAAGAAATTTTCCTAACCACCAATAAAACACCATCAGAAATCAAAAGCTTGACTAGAAAATCTTGCAACTTCTACTGCCACTCTAGTATCATGCATCGTAACGTTGGTCGAGTAAATCCTTTTAAAATTTGAATTAAAATTTTTGTGATTTTTCTAGATTCTCAAACCGATGAATTAAAATTTTTGTGATTGCTCCCATGCATTTTTGCTTTCTACATGTTTCACAACGCTCAATTAGCCTCAACGCATCTTTGTTCAATTTAGGCTAGTAGAAGTTTTCTCGAATCATCTTGAATGTTTTAGAATGGCCAAAATGACCAGCTTATCCACCCTCATGTGCTTCCCTCACAATGGACTACCTTAAAGAGCTGTGTGGACCCTCCAAGCCTCTCTTCCAAACATCTCCAAAGTCTGAATTAGCTTCATAAAGTTCCTTGATATGGTCGAATCCAAATACATTAGTTTGCATCATAGAAAGCAAACATGGTCTTCTACTAAGAGCATCAACCACTTGATTTTTCCCGCTTTGTTCTTGATTAAAACTGAAAATTCTGAAGAAACTCTACCTATTTTGCATGCCTTGCGCTGAGCTTTTGTTGGTGACTAAGATACTTTAGTACCTCATGATCAGAATATAGCACGAACTCTCTTGGTAATAAATAATGTCTCCAAGTTGCAACACGCGAACAATAGCATAGAACTCTTTTTCATAGGTGGAGTACTTCAATATAGGTCCACTTAGCTTCCCGCTAAAATAAGACACGGCTAAGAACTCCTCTAACGCCAACACCTGACGCATCACATTCTACTTCAAATAAACATCAAAGTTAGGTAACTGAAGGATAGGAGTTTGTGTCATTTTCCTTTTTAACAATTCAAAACCCTTTTGAGCTTCTTCATTCCACGTGAACATTCCTCCTTTCAAACACTCATTATAGGGGCAACCAAAGTGCTGAAATTTTTGATAAATCGTCTATAGAAGGACACCACTCCATGGAAGCTCCTTATATCCGAAATCGACCTAGGAATTAGCCAACTTATTGCCTCGATCTTCCTTGGGTCAGCATGAATACTAGCACTAGTTACTATGCAACCTAGATAGCAAACACTTTTAGTATAAAAGATGCTCTTCTTGAGTTGTGCATATAGCTTCTCTCTCCTTAAGATTTCAAAACCCTTCTCCTAATGCATTCCATGTTAAGCTTCCTCTTTGCATAGATTAGTATATTGTCAAAGTAGACAACAACAAACTTTCCAATGAATGGTCTGAACACATGAGTCATAAGCCTCATGAATATGCTCGGAGCATTTGACAAACCAAAAGGTATTACCAATCGTTCATACAAGCCTTGGCTAGTCTTGAAGGCAGTTCATCACCTTCTCTCATACGAATCTGGTGGTACCCACTCTTCAAATCAAGACCTTAGAACCATGTAATTGGTCGAATAGATCATCTGACCTTGGGATTGGGAAGCGATATTTGATAGTGGTCTTGTTGATTGCTCGACTGTCAAGACATATCCGCCAAGTGTCATTTTTCTTAGGTACAAGCAAAGCAGGTATGGCACAGGGACTAAGGCTCTCCCTTATTTTCCCTCTCCAATAATTCTTCGACTTGCCTTTGGAGTTCAACTTGTAGTGTTGGATTCATCCTATAAGCGGCTTTGCTTGGCCACGATGCTCCTGGTATAAGGTCAATATGATGCTGAATATCGCGCATGGGTGGAAGTTCTAACGGAACATCTGATAACACAAAGGTTGGGAGATCCCAGAACTTGAAGAAAATAAGTTGATGAAACCACTAAGAATAAGGTCAATATGATGCTGAATATCGCGCAAAGTGAAGCATATCCCTTAAACTTGATGGCAGCGATCTTAACCTTTTGTACCTCAGAATAATTCCTGAACTCTAAAATTTGTTCTACGGCCAATATAACCACTAAAAATCAGGAATATCAACCTTCACATAAGCCTTTTTCCCCCTAGTATGGTTCTTCCTTTCGCCTTGGGCGATCAGAGTCATCTCCATCAGCCACATGAAAGGGATTAATATCAGAGTCCCCTTCATCTTCTTCCTTAGGCCTTCTACGCCGTTATTGACTTTCGTAGTGTTGTAGTTGCCTCTGTAGCTGTTTTAGTGTCCTTCTCATCTCTTCCATCTCCATGTCATGATCGGCTGCTCTTCCTTCACATTCTTGAACCCAACGACCTTTTCTTGCTTGCATATTAGGTTCACCATCTGCTGCTCTGATACCAAATTGACGCGATTCTTCCAGTTTACAAAGAACCAACCGACCAAGATCAAGCTCTTGAAAAGCAAACGTGATTTGTGGGCCGGTTTCAAGAAACAACGTATCTCAAGCTTTAGGACTCGGAATCTGACGATTCAAAAACGAGATGAATTTTGACAATCTGAACTATAAGAAAGACTATTTACTCGTTCAAAACAAGTAAACATTGATGATGTACCGGTTCAAGGAAAGTTATGATCCTATGATAACCAAACAAAACGAATTTAGATCAAGAAACGTGTTCTTGAACGACTAAGCAATTGAAAACAAGATAAAGACTATCACCACATTGCTTGTAACCAAAAATAAGGATAAAGAAGACCAAATAGAGAAAAACACTCTATTGCAAATTAGGAACAGAAACTAGAATCCTTTATCTGCCTAGAGTTTCTTCTTTGATGACTAGAATTCCTATTCTAAAAAGGAAATAACATTACTAGACAAGGAAAGTAAAATCCCTATTCTATAAGGAACAGAACTAAAATCTACTAAAAGTAAAATCCTTATTCTAAAAGGAATAAACTAAATCCTATTTTTTAAGAAGGAAAGGGTCCTGGCTTCTTGAGATCAATCTTGGGCCTTTTGAGCTTGAAAACACGACCACGCACCTATTCGTGGGCATATAAGAACTTGTTTTTCGCAAGCTAAACAACAAAAAGCAAATATAGTTTCTTGCTTTACATCATTCTCCCCTCATTGAAAAGGACTCGTCCTCGAGTCTAAAGGCTCAATAAATGGCGCAAGGTCAGACAACACTAAATATCGTGAAACCCCATAATGGTCCGATAGATCTAATCTGTAAGCATTGTCACCGAACTTTTGTACAACTCGAGATGGACCATCTTTTGGTTAAGAAATCTTTCTTTACATTCAAGAAGTGTGTTTTTCTCTTCTTATCAACTTGTTTGATATATTCCTTTATTTGTCTCTTAATCTCTTTTACTATTTTCTCGTGCAACTTTTTTAATTGCTTAACCCTCACATCAGCATCTCCACTAAAAATAATGGGTTTTAAGAAGAGGAGACAAGTCTAATGGACCAAGAGGGTTCTTACGATAAACCACTTCAAAGGGACTTGTAATAAGATGAGCTATACTTCAACCCCGTACCAAGCTTAGCCCATAAAGTACGCCAAAATGACTGAGAAACTTAGTGTCACAATCAGATAAAAGAGCAAAGCAGCCACATGAGTTCTATCGCTTGTCTTGTTACATGGGATAAAGTGTGCCATCTAAGAGAATCTGTCAACATCAACGAAGATAACGTCCTTACCTCCTTTGAGATCTTGGAAATCCAAGGTACTATAGATAATCCCTTATTGCTCCCATGCATTTTTGCTTTCCTACATGTTTGACAACGCTCAATAAGCCTGGACACATCTTTGTTCAATTTAGACCAGAAGTTCTCTTTAATCATCTTCAATGTTTTAGAAATAGCCAAAATGACCAGCTAATTCACCCTCATGTGCTTCCCTCATAATGAACTCCCATAAAGGGCATACATAGCCGATTTCCATAGTAAAGAAACCCATCTCGAATTACAAACATTCTTTGTGGACCCTCCAAGCATCTCTTCGAAACATCTCCAAAGTCCGGATCAGCTTCATACATCAACTTGATATGGTCGAATCCATACATTAGTTTGCATCATAGGAAGAAAGCACGGTCTTCTACCAACAGCCACATGATTGAGGTTTCCATTTTTGTGCTTGATTACGAACTAAAAATTCTAAAGAAACTCTCCCCATTTCCATGCCTTGCGTTGAGCTTTTGTTGGTGACTAAGATACTTTTGTGCCTCGTGATCAGAATATAGCCACAATATCTCTTGGTAATAAATAATGACTCCAAAGTTGCAACACGCGAACAGTAGCATAGAACTCTTTTTCATAGGTGGAGTACTTCAATAAGCCACGGGTTTACCTTCCTGGCTAATAACTCCTCCAACACCAACACCCGAAGCATCACATTCTACTTCAAATAAAACATCAAATTTAGGTAACTGAAGGATAGGAGCTTGTGTCATCTTCTTTTTTATCAATTCAAAACTCTGTTGAGCTTCTTCATTCCACTAGAACATGTCTCCTTTTATTCAATTACAGGGCCAAAGTGCTGAAATTTTTGATAAATCATCGATAGAAGGACACCATTCCATGAAAGCTCCTTATATCCAAAATTGACCTAGGAATTGGCCAACTTATGATTGCCTCGATCTTGCTTGGGTCAGCTTGAATATCAGCACTAGTTACTATGTAACCAAGAAAGCAAACAAGTTTAAAATATGCTCTTCTTAAGTTGTGCATAGCTTCTCTCTCCTTAAGGTTTCGAAAACCTTCTCCAAATGCATTCTATGTTCAGCTTCCTCTTTGTTATATATTAGGATATCGTCAATGTAGATAACAACAAACTTCCCAATGAATGGTCTAAAACTCATGAGTCACAAGCCTCATGAATGTGCTCGGAGCATTTGAAAAACCAAAAGGCTAATAACCATTCATACAATCCATGGCTAGGCTTGAAGGCAGTCCTCCATTCAACCTTCTCTAATACGAAACTGGTGGTACCCACTCTTCAAATCTATTTTTGAAAAGACCTTAGAACCAAGTAATTGGTCAAATAGATCATCTAACCTGGGGATTGGGAAGCGATATTTGATAGTTATCTTGTTGATTGCTCGACTGTCAACACACATCCTCCACGTGCCATTTTTCTCAGGAACAAGCAAAGTAGGTACGGCACAGGGACTAAGGCTCTCCCTTATAAAACTCCTCTCCAATTTTTCGACTTACCTTTGGAGTTCAGCTTGTAGTGTAGGATTGATCCTATAAGCGGCTTTGTTTGGCCACGATGCTCCTTGAATAAGGTAAATTAGATGTTGAATATCGCGCATGGGTGGAAGTTCTAATGGTTCAGAGATATCAAACAATGGCTCTCCTTTATTGATGTGCCCAATAATTTGGGACCTGGTTATTTGCGCATCAGACACTGTCTTTGCCTTCTTTGAAAGTTCTTTAGGGTGCAATGGCATCAAAACGCACATTTGATCTTTATTCATCCTACAAGCGGCTTTGTTTGGCCATGATGCTCCTGGTATAAGGTCGATTTGATGTTGAATATCGCGCATGGGTGGAAGTTCTAATGGTTCAGAATCACATCATCAAACTTAGCAAGTAACTTCTTGGCTCGTGCTAACTCATGCTCCCCTTATCTTGTGAGTCTTCCATGGCTCCTGTTATGTACAATGGCTGATGTACCCAATAATTTGTGATCTGGTCATTAGCGTGTCAGACACGGTCTTTTTCTTCTTTGAAAGTTCTTTAAGGTGCAAAGGCGTCAAAACGACTTACGTCCATCAATTATGAATGAATAGGTGTTACCATATCCATCATGAATAACACGCTTATCATATTGCCCTGGTCTTCCAAGTACTAAATGACAAGCATCCATCTTTGCCACATCACACCAAATTTGGTCTTTATAGATTTACCAATAGAAAAAGAGACCAAGCATCTTTCAATGACTTTCAACACCATTTTGCAATCACCCAACTTTCCAAACCTTATTTAGTCAGCATCTCTTCCGAAACAGCATTAATGCAACTTCTGCCATGTGATGCCTCATGTGGGAGTTGCAATGATTCATCATCTTCATGTTCAACATGTAAGATCCTCTGAATAACGAGCATATCACCTTCATCAGGTTCTGCATGGGCATCCTCATCTTCCTCATTAACTTCCTCAATTAGCGGGTTTCTTCATGATTGGAATCATCTTCTTCATCAACCAATATTGTGCCTTGCGGTTTGGACAATCAGCTTGCACACGCCCAAAACCTTGGCACTTTGAAGAAGAATTACGCAATAATTTGCTTTGGCATTTGCACCACTACAACTACTAGTACACCCTTGGTTGGGGTATTTCTTCTTGGAATATAATTTCTTTGGCTCCTTTTTTTGTTGTTCGATGTTGATCGCAAGCTTTCGTACATCATTGAATGCCATTATTTGTCTCTCAATATACTACTTTATCATTCGACTTTTGCACACATCTTTTGTTAAATTTAGACTAGAAGAAGTTCTCTTGAATCATCTTCAATGTTATAGAAATAGCCAAAATGATCAGCTAATCCACCCTCTTGTTCTTCCCTCATAATGAACTCCCTTAAAGAGCTTTGTTGTATGCATAGCCGCTTTCCATAGTAAAGAAACCCATCTTGAGTTACAAACATTCTTTGTGGACCCTCCTAGCATCTCTTCCAAACATCTCCAAAGTCTGGATCAGCTTCATACATAAACTTGATATGGTCGAATCCGTACATTAGTTTGCATCATAGGAAGAAAGCACGGTCTTCTACTAAAGCATCAGCCACATGATTGAGGTTTCCATTTTTGTGCTTGATTACGAACTGAAAATTCTGAAGAAACTCTCCCTATTTCCATGCCTTGCGTTGAGCTTTTGTTGGTGACTAAGATACTTTTGTGCCTCATGATCAGAATATACCACAAACTCTCTTGGTAATAAATTATGACTCTAAAGTTGCAACACGCGAACAGTAGCATAGAACTCTTTTTCATAGGTGGAGTACTTCAAATTAGATCCACTTAGCTTCTCGCTAAAATAAGCCACGGGTTCCTGGATAATAACTCCTCCAACACCAACACCCGAAGCATCACGTTCTACTTCAAATAAAACATCAAAGTTAGGTAACTGAAGGATAGGAGCTTGTGTCATCTTCTTTTTTATCAATTCAAAACTCTTTTGAGCTTCTTCATTCCACTTGAGCATGCCTCCTTTCAAACATTCAATTATAGGGCCAAAGTGCTGAAATTTTTGATAAATCGTCGATAGAAGGACACCATTCCATGAAAGCTCCTTATATCCAAAATTGACCTAGGAATTGGCCAACTTATAATTGCCTCGATCTTGCTTGGGTCAGCTTGAATACCAGCACTAGTTACTATGTAAGCAAGAAAGCAAACACTTTTAGTTTAAAATATGCTCTTCTTGAGTTGTGCATATAGCTTCTCTCTCCTTAAGGTTTCGAAAACCTTCTCCAAATGCATTCTATGTTCAGCTTCCTCTTTGTTATAGATTAGGATATCGTCAATGTAGATAACAACAAACTTCCCAATGAATGGTCTAAAACTCATGAGTCACATGCCTCATGAATGTGCTCGGAGCATTTGAAAAACCAAAAGGCTAATAACCATTCATACAATCCATGGCTAGCCTTGAAGGCAGTCCTCCATTCAACCTTCTCTAATACGAAACTGGTGGTACCCACTCTTCAAATCTATTTTTGAAAAGACCTTAGAACCAAGTAATTTGTCAAATAGATCATCTAACCTGGGGATTGGGAAGCGATATTTGATAGTGATCTTGTTGATTGCTCGACTGTCAACACACATCCTCCAGGTGCCATTTTTCTCAGGTACGGCACAGGGACTAAGGCTCTTCCTTATAAAAGTCCTCTCCAATTTTTCGACTTACCTTTGGAGTTCAGCTTGTAGTGTAGGATAGATCCTATAAGCGGCTTTGTTTGGCCACGATGCTCCTTGAATAAAGTCAATTAGATGTTGAATATCACGCATGGGTGGAAGTCTAATGGTTCAGAGATCACATCATCAAAAATGGCTCTCCTTTATTGATGTGCCCAATAATTTGGAACCTGGTCGTATCAGGCACGATCTTTGCCCTCTTTGAAAGTTCTTTAGGGTATCTTTTAGATCATTCCAATACAGAAAGAGACCAAGTATACACTCGACTTGGTAAGGTTTGGGGTGTACCTCAGTCTCCAAATCCAATTCGGTCAGCATCTCTTCCGAAACAGCATTAGTGCAACTTCCACCATCGATAATCACTGAACATACCTTGCCAAGTGATGTACACCTCGTGTGCGATGATTCTTCATCTTCATGTTCAGCATGTAAGATCCTCTCAATAACAAGCATATCACCTTCATCATGTTCTACATAGGCATCCTCATCTTCCTCATGACTTCCTCAATTGGCTGGTTTTCTTCACGATTGGAATCATCTTCTTCGTTTGCACATAAAGTACGCCAAAAATGACTGAGAAACTTAGTGTCGCGATCAGAAACAATGCTTCTTGGAATGCCCTGTAGTAGGAATTGGCAAAGGCTCATATAATCCCTTATTGCTCCCATGCATTTTCGCTTTTCTACATGTTCAATGCTTTTGAATGGCCAATTCGCTTTACCATGTGATGTACACCTCGTGTGGGAGTTGCGATGATTCATCATAATGTTCAACATGTAAGATCCTCTCAATAACAAGCATATCACCTTCAACAGGTTCTACATGGGCATCCTCATCTTCCTCATTAACTTCTTCAATTAGCGGGTTTTCTTCATGATTGGAATTATCTTCTTCGTCAACCAATATTGTGCCTTGCGGTTTGAACAATCAGCTTGCACACGCCCAAAGCGTTGGGATTTCCACCACTACCACTACTAGTACCCCCCTGGTTGGGGTAATTCTTCTTGGAATATAATTTCTTTGGCTCCTTTTTTTGTTGTTCGATGTTGATGGCAAGGTTTCGTACATCATTGAATGTCCAATAAGGTATTAGGCGAATAACATCAGCGATGGGACGTTAAGCCACCAATATATCTTGCTGTAGTCTGTTCCTCAAGTTCTCGGGTATCACACTAACTCATGAGGTATTCAAACTCTCGAGTACATTTTTCACGGTCTGGTCTTATACTACTTTCTCATTCGACTTTTGTAATTGTGCTTAAACCTCTATCAACATCTCCACCAAAATAATGGGTTTTAGGAAGAGGATGGACCACGAGGATTCATACCAAAAACCACTTCAAAGGGACTTTTAACTAGTTGTTCGATTCACGGACTTGTTAGAAGCAAACTCAGCATGTGGTAGCAAAAATGGCTGAGAAACTTCAACTGTTTGAGGGTGATAAGATGAGCTATACTTCAACTCCAAACAAAGCTTAGCCCAAAAAGTTCACCAAAAATGGCTGAGAAACTTAGTGTCACGATCAGAAACAATGCTTCTTGGAATGCCGCGTAACTTGAAAATATTATTACAAATTAAAACAGCCATCTTAGAGATAAAGTGTGCCATCTTAGAGAATCTGTCAACAACAACAAATATAGCGTCCTTACCTCCTTGAGTCCTTGGCAATCCTAGCACAAAGTCCATGCTAATATGTTTCCAAGGTGTTGTAGAAATTGGCAAAGGCTCATATAATCCCTTATTGCTCCCATGCATTTTTGGTTTTCTACATTTTTCACAATGCTCAATCAGCCTGGACACATCTTTGTGAATAGGCCAATGGAAGTTTTTTTGAATCATCTTCAATGTTTTGGAATGGCCAAAATGACCAGCTGACTCATGTGCTTCCCTCACAACGGACTCCCTTAAAGAGGTTTAACGCCCATAGTAAAGAAACCCATCTCGAATAGGAAAAACTCTTTGTGGACTCTCCAAGCATCTCTTCCAAACATCAGCAAAGTATGGAAGTTTCATAAACTAAGATACTTTCATGATCAGAACAACCTCTCTTGGAAATAAATAATGACTCCAATGTTGCAATACGCGAACAATAGCAGAGAACTCTTTTTCATAGGTGGAGTACATCCAATTAGATCCACTTAGCTTCTCGCTACAATAAGCCACGGGTTTACCTTCCTGGCTAAGAACTCCTCCAACACCAACACCTGAAGCATCACATTCTAATTCAAATAAAACATCAAAGTTAGGTAACTGAAGGATAGGAGCTTGTGTCTCTTCTTTTTTATCAATTCAAACCTCTTTTGAGCTTCTTCATTCCACTTGAACATGACTTATTTCAAACACTCAATTACAGGGGCAACCAAAGTGCTGAAATTTTTGATTAATCGTCGATAGAAGAACACCATTCCATGAAACCTCCTTATATCCGAAATTCACCTAGGAATTGGCCAACTTATGATTGCCCCGATCTTGCTTGGGTTAGCTTGAATACCAGCACTAGTTACTATGTAACCAAGAAAGCAAACACTGTTGTTAGTATATATAGCTTGAGTCGTGCATATAGCTTTTCTTTTTCGTAAGGTTTCAAAAACCTTCCCCAAATGCAATCCATGTTTAGCTTCCCCTTTGCTATGGATTAGGATATCATCAAAGTAGAAAACAACAAATTTCCCGATGAATGGTCTAAACACATGAGTCATAAGCCTCATGAGTGTGCTCGGAGCATTTGAAAAACCAAAAGGAATTACCAACCATTGAAGGCGGTCCTCCATTCAACCTTCACTCATACGATTCTGTGGTACCCACTCTTCAAATCAATCATTTAAAAGGCCTTAGAACCAAGTAATTGGTGAAATAGAACATCTAACCTTGGTATTGGGAAACGATATTTGATAGTGATCTTGTTGATTGCTTCACTATCAACACACATCCTCAGAGTGCCTTTTTTCT